GTGGAAAATGAGGTTGGTTTGAAAGTCAAGCGGTTGAGGTCTGATAATGGAGGAGAGTACAAAAATAGAAGATTCAGAGATTTCTGCACAAACAATGGGATCAAGATGGAGACAACAGTTCCCATGACACCGTAGCAGAATGGTGTAGCAGAGCGCATGAACATAACTCTGAATGAACATGCTAAAAGCATGAGGATACATGCCGGCTTGCCCAAATCGCTATGGGTTGAAGCTATCAATACTGCAGCTTACCTGATCAACCATGAACCCTCAGTTCCCTTGGATGGTGGAATACTAGAGGAAGTTTGGAGCAAGAAAGAAATAAATCTTTCACACTTAAGAGTGTTTGGTTGTATTTCTTATGTACACATAAATTCTGCTGAAAGAAGTAAACTTGATGCTAAGTCCAACATATGCGTCTTTGTTGGTTATGGTGGTGATGAGTTCGTTTACTGGTTTTGGGACTACGAAAATCGAAAGATCATCAGAAGTAGATACGTCATTTTTAATGAGAATGTGATGTACAAAGACATGTCAACCATAAAATCAAGTAGCTCCAATACCAAAGCTAAAACAAATGAATTTACTAAGTTTGAGGAGATTTCTAGAAATGATATCCAGATTAGTCCTGAAACAGTTCAAGAACTAGGCATACCAGAACTAAAACGCTCCTCCAGAATTCCTAAATCAACCCAGTATTATTCACCTTCTTTGCACTACTTGTTGCTGACTGACAATGGTGAACCAGAGTGCTATGATGAAGCAATGTAGGTGGAGGATTCAGTCAAGTGGGAGTCTTTCATGAAAGATGAGATGGACTCGCTTATGTCAAATCAGACGTGGGAATTAGCTGAATTACTACCAGGAAAGAAAGCGCTCCATAACAAGTGGATTTACAGGATAAAAGAAGAGCACGATGGGAGCAAACGCTATAAAGCAAGATTGATTGTCAAAGGTTTTCAGCAAAAAGAAGGTATTGACTACAATGAAAGTTTCTCTCCAGTCGTGAAGCTGTCTACAATCAGACTGGTGTTGAAAATTGTAACTACAAAGAATATACATCTTGAGCAGTTAGATGTAAAGACAGCTTTCCTTCATGGTGATTTGGAGGAAAAAATCTATATGTGGCAAACAAGAAAAACATGGTATGCAGGTTGAAGAATAGCTTGTATGGTTTAAAACAAGCTCCTAGACAGTGGTACAAGAAGTTTGATAGTTTCATGAGTAGCAGTGGTTTTACCAAATTCCAAGCAGATCATTGTTGCTACATCAAGAAGTTTGACAACAACTTCATTATTTTATTATTGTACGTTGATGACATGCTTGTTGCAGGCTCAAACATGCAAGAGATTATAAACTTGAAGCAAAAATTATCGAAGCAGTTTGCAATGAAAGATCTGGGCGCTGCAAAGCAGATTCTTGGGATGAGGATCAAGAGAGACACAAAGTTGGGGACTTTGCTGTTATCACAGGCTAAGTACATCAACAAAGTACTCTTCAGGTTCAACATGCAAGGTGCTAAACCAGTAAGTACACCTTTAGGTGTTCATTTTAGACTCTCCAAAGAACAGTCACCAAAGACGGAGGAAGAACGTGCACACATGGTGAAGGTGTCGTATGCCTCAGTAATTGGAAGTCTGATGTATGCCATGGTTTGTACTAGACCAGATATTGCTCATGCAGTGGGAGCTGTTAGCAGGTACATGAATAATCCAGGTAAGGTACACTGGGAAGCTATCAAATTGATCCTCAGATATTTGCGGGGTACCACAAACAAAGCACTTTGTTTCAAAGGTGGAGATATGATACTGACAGGCTATGTAGATGTTGACTTAGCTAGAAATGTTGACATCAGAAGGAGCACTACAGGGTATGTCTATACTCTAGGAGGAATCGCGGTGAGTTGGGTTTCTCAATTACAGAAGATAGTTGCTCTCTTCACAACTGAAGCAGAATATGTCGCTATTACGGAAGCCAGCAAGGAGATGGTCTGGCTCCAAAGTTTCTTGAAAGAGTTAGGCAAGAAATAAGAAAATAATGTCTTGTACTGCGACAGTCAAAGTGCTATCCATTTAGGAAAAAATCCGTCTTTTCATTCCAGGACGAAGCACATACAATTGCGATATAATTTTATCCGGTCTCTTCTAGAAGATGAGATTTTAAAACTTGAAAAGATTAGTGAGCTCAAAATCCGGCGGACATGTTAACAAAAACGGTGACTACGGATAAACTGAAGTTGTGTTCAGCTTCAATTGGCATGCTAGAGTAACAAGACTAGAAAAGCTGATGCATTGATTGAGGTGTGAAGACAGATTAAAATTAGTCTTTAAGTGGGAGATTGTTGAATATAAAACATGGGCGGTTGGAAAAACAGTAAATAGGGCGGCTAATTGTTGAAATTGGAAAAGGGATAATTACCAAATTGAGTCATTAAACTTTAGGATATTTATAAGATTAGTCCTTAAGCTTCAACTATAAATACCCCTACCCATTTAGCTTCAAAATTATCCCAAATCATTTATTTCTCCCAATACTAGAGAGCTTTCTTGTGAGTAGTGAGTGTTTTGTAAACACCTGTAAATTTTCTCTCTTAGTAAAAGATCTGCATCAGTTCGGAGACGTATGCATAATTGGTTGAACTCCGTTATCAATTTCGGGTATTATTTTTCCGCTTTTATTTCGTATTCTCACTAATCTGGTTATAGGGAAATTACTCGTTTTATTTCCCAACAAAAAGTCAAAAGAGGCAAAAGTTCCACCACCACCGGAGGAGGTGTCTATATGGGGAATCCCACTCTTGGCGGACAAGAAAAGCGATGTGATCTTGTTGAAATTTTTAAGAGCAAGAGATTTCAAAGCAAATGATGCATTAACTAAGATTAAAAAAAAAAACACTGTTCCCTTCAAATCCTTGGTTGATGAAGGTTTAGAAATAAACTAGAGAGAGTGATTTTCATGCACGGAATCGATAGAGGCCATCTTGTCTGTTACAACGTGTATGGAGAATTTCAGAACAAGGTGCTGTATCAAAATACTTTCGCTGATGAAGAAAAACGATCCAAGTTCTTGAAAAAGTGCATCCATAAATTCGACTTCTGTCCTAATGATATCAATACAATTCTTCAAGTCATCGATCTCAAGAATTTTCCCGGATCCTCCAAGGAGTTAAGACAAGCCCTTAACTTGCTACAGAAAAATTATCCCGAATTTGTGGCCAAACAAGTATGCTTTAATGATATAAACTTTTCATTGTTTGTTAAAATTTGAACTAATATCGATGTTGGGTTTTGGATTTTGAAGGTGTTTATCAATGTTCCATGGTGGTACTTGGCTTTCGTTAGGATGATCAGTCCTTCACTTAGTCGGAGAATCAAGAGCAAGTTTGTATTTGCAGGTCCATCCATATCTGCTGAGACTCTGATCAAGTAACTGGATTTTCATTCATTATTCCTTCCCTTCTTAAATCTGCTTGTTTGATCATGAATGATCTTTCAATAAAACATAGATATATTGCCCCTGAACAAGTACCAGCTCAATACGGTGGAATGAACAGAGATGGTGAAGAAGAATTTACCATAGTCGATGTCGTCACGGATGTTACAATCAAGCACATCATCGAATTCCCCATAACCAATGTATGATAAGAACGTTTGTACCATTTCAGTAAACTTCAATTCACAGTCACATTCATGTAATAACTATATATGAAACTGTATTTGACTTTGAATTTGCAGAAGTCTAATCTGGTTTGGGAGCTCCGAGTTGTGGGATGGGATGTCAAATACGGAGCTGAATTCATGCCGACTGCCGAAGACGGGTATGCCGTGATCATGTCAGAAACAAGAAAAGTCTCCTCCGCCGATGAAACAGTGATTTCTGGTAGCTTCCAAACCAGTAAGCCCGGAAAAGTTGTTCTCACCATTTATAATCAAACATTTAAGAAGAAACTTCTTTATCGGTCTAAGACCAAGGCTTATTCTTATTGAAGATTTCAAATAATCGATGGATTTGGATTTCGCTTTTATTGAAATTTAAATATGTATGCGCATGCGTATGCGTATGCGTATGCGCATGCGTATGTATATGTGTATGTGTATGTGTATGTGTATGTATATATATATATATATATATATATATTGTTATTGCGAAACCTCATTCTGTTTTGAAAGTTTGTATAAATTTCTTGGTATGTTATATTTGCATTTGTTTCATTGATCATTTATTAGTTTGACTTTTCAGAATATGTGCACATAAGGGTTGACTTTTTTGAAGGATTGAATTTTTCTAATTATCAAATTAGGTTTTTTTTTAATTTTATCAAATAAGGGGTTGTACCATATAGACATAGGTTTATCACACCAAACATTCTTAAACTATAGTTAAAATTTTAAATTGAGCTCTAATTTTTTAATATAAAATTAAGGTAAAATAAATATAAGATATTAATATAATATTATTTAAATAGTTAAAATATTTAAGTGTGTTCACATAAAAGTTGACTTTTACAAATGGTTAAATAAAGGAATTTTTTTGAATTAGGTCAAATAAATGATTTGCATTATGCACATATGGATCAATTATACAAAATGTCTTTAGATTATAATTTAAACTCTAAATCAACTAATATGTGTGTATATATATATTAATGTAAAATAAATTTAGGATAATTTAAATTCCAAATTGTTACAGATTATATAACATTTTCGATTATAAACTCTAAAATCACCATAATATGATCTTTTTTTCTTATAATTGAAAATATTATAAACTATAAAACTTTTAAATTTAAAGAAATAACGAATTAAATTAAAAATTCATCGCACAACAAAATTACCCAGAGTTTGGCAATTTCCATATATCTCTGTTGTAGGCGTTGGAAGTTATCATCGAACTCCACAATTGAAGGCTTTCGATGGAATAAAGTTAACGACCCCTTGATCCTTGGGAAATCAAAGTACTTTCATGTTAATACAAAAATAAATGTTTAAGTTATACTTATAATTGATTTTTGATGTTTAAAAAGATTTCCGTTAAAAATATGTGTCTAATATTTCTATCGATACATTTTGAGCTGATTATCATTAAAAAGACAGTGACACGTGTTACGTTCAGTTTTTTTAATTATTTTTAAATATTTTTTTATTTAAAAAAATCAAAAGATATAAGAGTGAAATGTGTCATTTATTGATTCTTTTTTAACGTTAAGCACCTAAAAGTATGATGGATAAAACATTATATATTATTTTTAACAAAAAATTCTTTTGACACCAAAAAATCAATTTTAAGTATAATTTAGACAATTATTTTTGTATAAAACCTTGTATCTCATCATTTCTATGTTATTGAATGATATCAATTAAATCACTGACATTTTATGTTGAAAAATTAATTATACGATAATTAAATAAATATATATAATTAAATATAACTTTTATTAATCAGATATGAGTCTTATAAGTGTAATTCTATTTTAATTTGATTTAATAAATTAAATCTCATATATATTATATTTTAATTAAATTTTTATCCTTAGTTTTAATATATTTAAGTTGATATCTTTTTTCAATCAAATAATGAAACAATCATGAAACCAAAGAATGGATGCTTATGAGACAAAATTCATTAAAATTTTATTCATCAAGGTCGTAAAGATGGAAAACCCTAGCAGCGGAAAAAACCCTAGCGATGGGTTAAACCATACGTTAACTATTTACGGCAACATCGGTGGCCGTCCGTCGGAACCAGCAGCACATATCGATGCCCCGGTGGCTCTGGAACGACTGGGATCCTCGATAGCAGTCGAAGATCAACAGGTTGCGAAGAAGGGCAGAAGCGTGGAGAGTACGGTTGAGCAGCAGACTACAACGTTGGACACAACAGCCATGGAAGGAATAGAAACTAATGGTAGCGTTCAGGTTTTAAAAGAAGATCACCAGGTTCAGGAAAATAACCAAACCAGAGAAAGAAATGCGTCTTATGCATCGGTCACTGCAAAGAATACTGCCGCTGAAACTAGGAGAAACTTTGGTGAGGGTTTCGACTCGGACAATATAGTTGTACCGGATGAAGATTGTTTGGTTGATGAATCGGGTCCATTCCCGAAAATATCATTCTCCGAAAAGTTCATGAACAGATTGATCTCAGCATGAGCAACAATTATTGTCCGACTGCTTGGTCGAACTATAGGATATAACACGTTACTGACACGTATCCATGCTCTTTGGAAACCGGTTGGGGAGCTTCAGTTAGTTGATTTGGTTAATAAATACTTACTAGTTCGATTTGAGGATGAGAGAGACTTTACTAATGTTCTTACGGATGGCCCTTGGACGATCTACGAAAATTACTTAACGTGCAACCTTGGAGTAGAGGCTTTTCTACGTCCCAAAAACATCCGTCGAAGGTTATAGTCTGGGTTAGACTTCCAGGACTACTCTATAGATACTAATGTAAAGCCTTATTCCGTCGTATTGCCTCGGTTGTGGGGAAAGTAATTAAGGTTGACTACAACACTCAAGCAGGTGAACGCGGGAAATTTGCTCGGATGGCGATAATGGTGGATCTTAACAAGCCGCCACAATCTTGTATCGGAATCAACGATTTTGTGCAAAAAATTGAGTATGAAGGTTTGAGTCAAATATGCTTTGGCTGGGGAAAGTATGGACATTCAAGGATATTTGCAGCAACTCACAACCTCTTACAGATGAACCGGATCCTCCAGTAACACAACCTGTGACTGCCCCAACTGTTGCTGTTAAAGAGGGTGATTTGTATGGTCCATGGATGATTGTTCCGAATCGACGACAGAGAAATACTGCAAGTAAAGGAAGAACTGGTGATGGACAGCAAACTGGTCAGAGTTCGGGCTCTAGGTTTACTGCCCTCGATATTACTGAAAACAGTGTGGAAGAGGTAGTTCCGAACCAGCAGCCACCGATCACTAAGCAAAGGAAAGATATCCTCCGTTGAAACCAATCAGGAAATGCGACTCGTACTGTTGGCAACATCAGTCAGCCGTCGGTGGTTACTAAGAGTGCAGCCTACTTGGCCTCGAATCCTGCAAATAAATCGAAAAATAATGGGGCCTCCTCTAATGGGAAGAAAGCAATGGAAGTTATTCCTCTGAACGTGGAGAAAAACGTTGAAACGGTCATGTTACCTCTATTAGGTCCGGAAAGCATGATGCCGTCTCAATCAATGAACCAGGTTTTGAGTTGAATGTATCAAGAACAAAGAAGGCTGACAAAGCGCACGGGAACAATAAAGTAAGCTGAGAGATTAATAGAAAGGGTGTTCAAATTCGGAAGGCATCGGACTCGAGAATATCTTCAGAAGCTGTCCAAACAACTTGATGAAATTGGTATCTCTGAGGCTTCCCAATTCCAACCACCGCATGACTCTCTTGGTAGCCTCCATACGGATGGAGGAAGCTCTACCAATATGGATGATCGTAATATGATGATCGATGGGGAAGGTCGGGAGAATCCCGAGGCAAATAACGGACAGTAAGTCCCTGTCTCTCCCTTTTCTTGTTGGACTTATGTCGTTTGTTTTTTGGAATTGTCAGGGCTCTTCAAGTACAAACTTTCGACGGATCTTGAAAGCTATGGTTCGAGATAACCGGGTGGATGTAGTGGTGCTTTTTGAGCCTCGGATTTGTGGCTCAGTCGCGGATAAAATCATTGCTAAATTTGGCTTCAACAACTAGTTTTGAGCGGAAGCACATGGTTTTTGTGGTGGAATATGGCTTTTATGGAAGAAGTCGGTTCTTGTGGACATTTTTCAAATTTCGAATCAATTTATTAATGGGCGGGTGTACATTGAGGCGAGTTCAAAGTGGATTCAATTTACGGCCATCGATGCTGGTCCCCCAAAGTTCTAAAAGAAACATGCTTTGGATTTAGCTAGCTAATTTAGAACCGAGTGCGGATGTTCCTTGGATTCTTGGAGGTGATCTCAACGTTATTTTGTATCCCAGCGAGCGATCGGATGGTTTGTCGGGTCCTTAGGGTGGTAGTCGTGGATTTGCTGATTTTCTACAGAATGTTGGTTTGATTGACTTGGGTTTATCGGCCCGGCTTTTACTTGTTCTAGGGGCAGGTTACAGAAACGACTTGATCGATGTGTTGCTAATTCGGCCTGGTTATCCCAATTTGCTGAATCAAGAGTATTCCACTTGGAGCAGTTGGGTTCGCATCACAGACCTCTACTCCTGAAGATGGCAGATCGAATGCAAGGGAATAAATTTAGACCTTTCTGTTTTATCGCAGCTTGGCAAGATCACCCGACATTCCAAGATCTTCTTAAGTCATCTTGGGATCGAGATGGATCGACCGAGGAGAACATCAAATCTTTTTAATCAGCAGCTAATTCGTGGAATATTGAAGCATTTGGTCATGTCGGTAAAAGGAAAAAACGACTGCTCGCTCGCCTATGAGGAATTGAGAAAGCTCTTCAACGAAGGTATAATAGTTTCTTAATTCAATTAAAATCTGAATTACAAGATAAGTATCTTACAGTGCTTGAACAAGAAGAAAGCTTCTGGTGTCTAAAGGCGTGTTCTCAATGGTTATTGCATGGGGATAGGAATACCAATTATTTTCATGCGATTACTATGGCTCGGCGCAGAAAAAACAAAATCACCACCATAAAGCGTACCGATGGAAGTTGGTGTTCTGATCCTAAGGAATTGGTTGATATGGTACGTGATTATTTCTGTAATCTCTTCACCTCTTCGGGCTCTCATAATTTAAACTATAGTATTCGAGGTGGCTTCAAAATTTTGTCGCAAGGAAATTATGACTCGATGACTGTTCCGGTTACAAGGAAGTTAAGAATGCTATTTTTTGTTGGAAGCGTAGGTGGGCTCTCGATAATTTATATAACTCGAAATATTATTGATACGAGGTAAAATACGTTACAATGACACTACCTTAATATTACAATATTACAACACTACGAAACTAGCTGCAGCTAGTTTACAAACACAACCTCAATATTCTAAGTTTTGCTAAGCTTTACCCTCTCTCTCTAATAGTTTTTCTAAGTTATCTCTGATTCTTGTTTTTCTAAGCTTTTCTTCATATTCCTTCTCTTATTAATAGCTTTGCTAAGCTATTAATCATTCTGGCTTTTCTAAGCCTTCATTTTTCTCTCTTTGCATTACATATATTAATGCTAATCTACACATATTTATAGGTATAATAACCGACTTATTTGAAGACTTTAGAAGCTGCCACTTTCTTCTCTCACGTAGTCATTAATCTTTCTTAATTGATAAGAATTTCATAGGTTACTGCCAACTCAACCATATTTTGACTTTTCAACTATGCTACAACATTATGCCGTCTTGAACTTTGCTTAATAATTAAGCATATTCTTTTAGCTATCTTTTTTTGACTTTTCAAACATCTAGAATTAAATTTGATTTCCAACACTCTCCCTCAAACTTGATTTTCCATTCCAAGTTTTTCTCCACTTGTCTTCTCCAATCGATTCTTTATTTCTTGGCAAATGCACGCTGTTACGACTATATATTATTCTTTGTTTTTTCGTCACCTTGTAGAGATTTTTGCAAAATTTCTCACGCTTGTTTTGCAGTCTTCGCATTAGGAATATTTTCAAAGGTAGATTCGTGTACTCCTTGAAAAATAAATAACAACTCTCTTTTATCTTTTTTCCGGAATTCCTTCAATACCTTCTTTTCTTCATTGGTCAGGGTTGTTTCTGCTGCTGCATTTTTAGGCTTAGTGTAACCATCATCGATGATATCCCAACAATCTTGAGAGCCTAGTAACGCCTTTATTTGAATGCTCCAATTGCCATAATTTGTCTTTGTCAATCTCGGAATTTGAGGTTGAATCATGTTAGCCATCTTCTCCACCACATTAAACTTGAACCAAGCTCTGATATCACTTGTTGTAAGCGTAGGTGAGCTCTCGATAATTTATATAACTCGAAATATTATTGATATGAGGTAAAATACATTACAACGACACTACCTCAATATTACA